ACAAAAATTAATTTAAAGTGCAAATTAAAATATAGTTCTGCAACTGTATTTGTTAATGTTTTGAACTTTTAAAAATACTGCATGGTAAAAACAGAAGCTGCAATTCATACTGGTGACAAACTTAGTTACATTCATTTTTGCCTTCTACTTTTCATTTAAAATAGGTTTACATTCTCAGAAAGTTTCTAAGGTTCTTCTACATATTAAAAAAGTTGTTAAACAACTGAGTGGCACACTACTGCTACTAGTGGTGAGAAGGTGTATTGCACCTTATTCAAACTCAATGCAGTCCCACAGTTAAAAAATGTTGTTCTTTTGAGGCCCTCAAGGTGGCGCTCGCGGCCCAAGGGTTAAGAATCTCTGAAATATTTTTATTACTGTTTTTGCTGTTTTGTGACTGATGTTTGTGTTGTGACCGCCCAGTTGAGTCGACCGCTCATGCTGGCTGTGCAGACTTTAAGACGAGCTGGCCGGTTGGAACTAGCCCTGGAGTGGGTGATCCGGTGGCTGAAAGTCCTTGGGGACCAGATCACAACTCAAATGGCTGAACCAGTCTTGCTTTGGGTGAAAATAAAGAGCGATGCTGCCAGTAATGATAATGAGGACATAAGACTCAGGTACAGAGAAGAGTGTTTTTGTTCATGTTTGTGATTTGTTAAACAGATCATACCTAAGTTGAAAGTTTTGTCTCATGTCTTGAAACAGGACGCTACGGGATGGTTTTGGCTCTGAAGTCCCTGAGGAGAGAGTAATGCTTTGCCTTTTGGAGGAAGAGCTGCGTGCCTATAAGGAGTTACCGAGAGACACTGCTCAAGAGCGCTACAACACCCTCTGTGACTTGTTGGACATCTGCCACGAGGAGAGTTCATACACTCATCTGCGTGCCGTCTTCCTCTGTGAAATGGCCCAAGTGGTGTGTTTCCAGGACTTCAGTGATCAAACTGACTGGTATTTGCATTTTATTTTCACATTAATGTCTAAATGAATGTAATCTTCAAAGGTCATATTGTAAATTTTAAAAAGTTGCCAGAACAGCTTGAGTTTTTTCTGACACTGAAATGTTAACACTGTTGTTGTCAACATTGTTTTTGTTTATGACTACACAGCATGGCAAAAGATTTCACCTATGAAGCTTTGCGGCTTCTTGAAGAAGAACCAGAAACATCAGAGAACGCTGACAAACTAAAGGATGACAAAGCACATGCTTTACTCTGGCTTTATATCTGCACTCTGGAGGAAAATCTCCAAAAGGTGACTTCTTCTTTTTTATCATATTATTTATCTGAATCACGAGAAAATAAGTAGTGAATCTTTTAAAAATGCATTCTTGTTTAATGCTTTTCAAACGTTGGTTGTTTTATTTTGCTGTTTTCTAGGCCATTGAGAACGACAGAAAACAAAAAGAGTTGTGTGAGAACACGCAGTCTGTGAATAATCTTGTAGGCAACAATGATTTTGATTATGAAGACAAACAGAAGATGCAGGACAACAGTCTGGTTTATGACGGCCTTCAATTTAACCTGGCTGCAGAAAACCGTAAGAACCGTGTTTTTCATTTAATCAGTAATCCTGCGTAGAAGTAGGTAAAAATATTGATTCATCAATGCGTTGCAATTCATTTTTTCCCCCCAATTCAGATTTGATTCAGAAAATCATCTAAATTGATTTGTTTTCCTGACCAGATTGTCATTATTTTGTTTACATTCCTTATTTAGATCAAGCATTATTGTGCTTTATTTTCAGATATTTTATTTAATTTTATTTCTCTAAAATGTTAAGGTATACTAGGGCTGCCCTGTGACCCTGACAGGACTAAGTGGGTTAAGTGACTGGATGGATGGATGGATACTAGGGCTGTGCGATAAAACTATTGATTATATTGGAATAGACACGATCAGTTTCAATAGAAATTACGTCTGGAAGGACGTAATTGAAAAGTGCAGTGCAAGGAGAAAATGAGAGCAACAGCTTCAGAGAGAATTTGTGTTTAAAAGAGSAAAGATCACTCAACAGTTTGGCAGGATTAATCAGCTTTTTTTCTCCTGGTCCCATTTCAAATTGGTAAAACAAAAAACTAATCAATAATAATTATCAATATTGACCGATATTAAATATTATCGTGATATATTTTTTAGCCATATAAACCAGCCCTAATGTTATACCATTTCTGTTTGTATGGGCAGGAAAAAAAAATCTAAATTATCCTCAGGGACTCATAAATTATTTGTGTACTTGTTGTTATGAAACTATTATTGATGTGTTTTAAAGCCATACTGAATCAAATCAAAAATCTGACTGAATTGGGGCCAAAATGATTGAAATCCAATTGAATTATAAGGTTTTTGACAATACCTAACCTTACTGCATAGACGAATGTAATTTTTGTTGCTTGTATAGTTAGTCTGTTTAACAATACAACTGTTTTTGTTTGTTTGCCTCTTTCAGAGTTGTGTCAGCCTTTGGAAAAGGCTCTGAATGAATGGGCTGCTCTCTTTAAGAATCAAGCCCTGCCTGCTGTTAGAAACGCTAAACAAACCTGCAACTCCATTTCTGTGGCTGCGGCTCTCTTCAGACTTATTGGAAAGGTAACAACAGAAAATGTGCCAAAGTACTCTGCATGATCTTAAGTTACATTTTTGTTTTGTTTGTATGTTAAAAAAATACTTTAATTGTTGAACTAAAGTATGTAAGGTTAGACTATGATGAGATTGTGAGAAACATTTCACATTGTATTCAGCATAAAGATTGATGTTTAGTATTTATAAATCTCCTTGATCTCTTTATAGCCTTTAAAGGCTTTGGAAGCTTACCAACTTGGGATCTGCTTTTCACGTGAACTTGCTGATGTTCGGAGCTGTGCTAGCTCTCTCTGTCAGACCGCCAGCATCCTCCTTGATTTGGGCACCCCTGAACTGGCTCTGGTAACGATTGCTTTTGTTAAAGACACTGAGTCTGACTTCATTTTTGCTGTTTAATGGAGATTGTTTAAATTGCTTACAACATTTTTTAGGCTCAGTTGGAGGAAGCAGAAAAACTCCTGTCACTGGACACCACAGATGATGAACCTTCAGCTCTCTCCATGCTGGTCGTCTTATTGAAGGCTCAGTGCTCCTACAGCGTAGGACAGGTATGTAGCGTGACGGAAGTTTGTGCTTGTATCATTTCTCATTTTCTTTTTGTATTCATCTCATCTGTTTTGTAAATTTCAGGTTAGCTCTGGAGTGCCTTATCTCTGTGAGGTGCTTAAAAAAGTAAGGGAGCAGAAACCATCAAAGAGCTGGTACCTGCTGCAGGCTCGTGCTCTTCAGGTCTGCAGCTCCTATTTGACTTTGGACTCTGCTCAGTTGCCACAAGCCCAGCGAAGCCTTATCACGCAACATGGTTAGCAAGATCATTCAAAACACCTAAAGGTTTTTTTTTTATGGTGTCAGTATTTACAGTAGATAAAAGTCTGTTTTGTATATTCCAGGTTTAAATACTCCAGATTCTGCCCTTTATGAGAGTTTGAAGCTTCTCTGCAGCTTGCTGGTCACTTTAGTGGGAAAGGGCCTTTATGGGAATCATAACGGCAGCTCAGATATGCACTTTGTACACCAGGGTAAGGTTACCCTTGTATTCTAAAACTGAACTGCTTTGGTGCTTTTTTTTYCCTTCCATTGTGCTTCTCTCACTCTTCTCTTCTCCATCTATGGTCAGGAGACAGCCTGGTGCTGAAGTGGCAGCTGCTCTTAGAGCTGCTGAATTGCTCCATAAAGATGGCGGCGGTGCGGAGCAGTTGCGGCGCGGTCAGAGATGCCAGGCTTCAGTGTCTAGAAGCCCTGAAACTGGCCGTCAAACTCAAGGCACTTAGCCAGTATGTATATATACACACATAGATGGTTTTAAAAGGCAGGAACCAGAAAAATGTTGACAAATATATATATTTTTGTTGCTTTAGTTTCAGGTAATTTTACACAACAAATGCAATAAATTCTGTTGTCTTAATTTAGGTTGTTTGCAAATAAAACTGGTAATGTCTATTTTCTATTATCTTACGATGAAAACAGTACAGCTAAAAATAATGAAACACAGCTCACATCTACTTTTTTAAAAGTTATAAATATGATAGCCTGGCCCTTGCCTTCCTACGCAGCTCCGCTCAATTCTAGTTTCCCTCTGCTCTGTCTGGGACTTCTAACATTGAAATGGATTTCGCTGGCAGATTTTTTGCCGAGCCAATCAGAGAACAGAACRTTGATTTTCTGTGCAGTATCTGCTTGTAGTTTATTTTACCTGGGCCAATCAGCAAACAGAAGGTGGAGTTTTGAACGACGTTGATTTTCTGCGCAGTGTCTGCTAGTTATTTTAGCATACAGCAGTGGAGGAAGAGAATGAAGCCAGTTCGCGTTGATAAGGCTTCCAAATTAAATTAAATTTGTCTGACAAAGCAGCAGCTCTCATTTACAGTCGTCTCGTTCGGCTCGGTATATTTCTCCTCTCAGTAGGGTTGTTTACAGCACACGTGATTTCCGGTTAGCTTCTTAGCTTAGCCTCCTTCACACCGACAACACACACAACATGCTTCAGCAGAGGCCACGCCTCCTGCAAGAAATGATTCTCTATGCAGCAAGTCCAGACCCTAGTACGAAGCAAAGTGAAGGACAGGGTCTGGTTTTAACCAGGCTATAAATATGATGGAATATGATTAAAAATGGATTGATATGTAGCCATTCAATTTGTTCTAGAAAGATTCAATGTTATGTTTTAACTGAATATTATTATAGTTTGATTTTATACTTGAGAAAAAAGGGGCAGATATTATAAGACTTTTTTTTTCTTCTCTGCTGCCTTTCATTTTATTTTATTTGTTTTTTTTTATTGTACATAGAAATTTGTTTTTTTTATGGAATGAAATGAAATCAAAATCAAATGATGGGATCTTGTAATTTTTTTTTGTATTTGTTTAAGATGTGCAGAGCTGCTGGTGATAAAAGCAGAACTGGAGCTGATGCAAGAGGAGAGAGATGACAGTAGTTATGACCTGGACACAGTCAGAAATCTTCTGGAGAACTGTACAGGTTTGTGGATGCACAGATACATCGTTTAGATGAGAACTTAGACTTTTGTTTCACTTGTTAATTTGTNGTGGAGGAAGAGAATGAAGCCAGTTCGCGTTGATAAGGCTTCCAAATTAAATTAAATTTGTCTGACAAAGCAGCAGCTCTCATTTACAGTCGTCTCGTTCGRCTCGGTATATTTCTCCTCTCAGTAGGGTTGTTTACAGCACACGTGATTTCCGGTTAGCTTCTTAGCTTAGCCTCCTTCACACCGACAACACACACAACATGCTTCAGCAGAGGCCACGCCTCCTGCAAGAAATGATTCTCTATGCAGCAAGTCCAGACCCTAGTACGAAGCAAAGTGAAGGACAGGGTCTGGTTTTAACCAGGCTATAAATATGATGGAATATGATTAAAAATGGATTGATATGTAGCCATTCAATTTGTTCTAGAAAGATTCAATGTTATGTTTTAACTGAATATTATTATAGTTTGATTTTATACTTGAGAAAAAAGGGGCAGATATTATAAGACTTTTTTTTTTTCTTCTCTGCTGCCTTTCATTTTATTTTATTTGTTTTTTTTTATTGTACATAGAAATTTGTTTTTTTTATGGAATGAAATGAAATCAAAATCAAATGATGGGATCTTGTAATTTTTTTTTGTATTTGTTTAAGATGTGCAGAGCTGCTGGTGATAAAAGCAGAACTGGAGCTGATGCAAGAGGAGAGAGATGACAGTAGTTATGACCTGGACACAGTCAGAAATCTTCTGGAGAACTGTACAGGTTTGTGGATGCACAGATACATCGTTTAGATGAGAACTTAGACTTTTGTTTCACTTGTTAATTTGTTTATTTTTACAGTAATTGTACATAAAATGTGTTTAAAATATACTCTTTTTGTTTGTACTGTTTTTAATGCATTATCAATTCATGAAAATATGGTTTGAATAAAGAATCTTTTTTTTCTCCCGGTTTCTCTCTAAGATTTTTCCCATCAGGTTGAGAGGGCAGATCTGAAAATCAAACCAAGAAAAGGTCGTCCGGCTCAGAGAGCTCACTCTGCTCTTCCTGCCATGGAAGATGAACTAAAGGACCTTCTCAGCACCAGATGGATGGCTAAAGAACCTGTAATGAAGGCTGTGTCCAGCTCCCCGCCACTCAAAGCTCTGCCTCTCCGCTTGCTGTCCTCCCTGACCCACGAACCCGACTGTCCGTTTCCCTGCTGCTCTGAGCCCTGCTTGGCTCGTGTCACTGCCCGCTGGGCGGCTACACAGGCTGATCTGGTTCTTCATCTGGATCCCTGCGATCTCGATGTTGGTTCCAAACTTTACCGGGCGGCTTTATTACGCTGCAAAAGTGTTACCGGGAAACTCGAAGGAAAATTGTCTGAGCTCTTCCCGCCTTGTGACCCTGGCAGAGCGCTCTCTAAACCCTCTCTGATGCAGGATGTGGCAGGCCGTGTGTACCTGAGCATGGCTTTGACTGGGCTGCAAGCAAAGCCGAACAAGTCCAGCGGCATCTGGAAAATACTTGAAGCTGGCTTAGCTTTTGTAGATTCCACCTCCTCTCCTGTCTTAAGGCCTGTAAGAGCAGGCCTCATGGCGACCAAAGCCATTGCTTCTCTGATTAGTTTGGCAGGCAAACACAGCTGCAGTCCAGAGGAGCTCTACTCAAACGCTTGGACTTGGAACGCACAAAAAGAATGTAAAGACAAGAAATCAGTCCCCACGTTCACATGTAAAAAGACTAAAGGTTTGAGCAAAAACTCTGACATTCTTGTCCAGAAAAAGGAGACGAAGAAAGTCAAGCCTGTCATACCTAAAATTCATGTAATAAGTGCCTCCTCCAAAGAAAAGGGTCTGGTTCCCGTGACGCCAGTAACGACAAAGACCAAATCATTTTTTGGAGAGCATGACTCGTATAACTTCAACACCGTCGTCCCTACTCTGGCTTTCACTCCTGTTCAGAAGGTGAAGTGCCCTGCTTCGGCACAGAAAGCATCCAGGGCTGCCTCCAAGCTTCAGTTTCACGTGTATGAAGAGGTGTCGCCAGGTCGAGACAAAATCCCAGCTATGCCTGCAGCCCCTAAACGGACAAAAAAATCATGCTTCAAGGTAAGCAGAAAGAAGCTTTTACTGTATTGTCAAGAATGTTGCCAGTGCGTTTTACTCAATGTCCTAACCTCTAACACAGGTGGAATTCAGTGATGAAAGTGACTCGGAGGCTTCATCCAAAGCAGAGCTCAAAGGAAAAGCAGATGCACCTAAAAAGCAAACCTCTCGGAGAGTGGGCCAAAACGTGAAAACGGGCCCACCTTCAGCGAAGGTCCCGGTCAAGAGACAACCCAAAGGGAAGAGGAACACCTCGGTTTCTTGTGTTACCTCTTCTGAGGACGACGAGGCTCTGATCTTTCCACCTGCCTCCACTCGAAGACTAAGAACCAGAAAACCTCGGTCCAAGTCCGAGGAACCACTGGAGGAGCCCGACACAATGAGGACCATTGTGGAGGAGACTGATGAGGTCCTAAACATAAGCATTGAGCAGCTGAGGATGTCGGACACTGAAGCTGAAGAGAATCAGGCTTTAAGTAAAGGTATCTGTGTGTGTGTGTTCCTAACCTCAAGTGTGGTCATAACTTTTATTGTCCAATCTTTTTTATGAGGCTTTAATTATCAATGTTCCTTTCAGTCTGTAAYAAAGCTTCTCTTGTTTAGACGTCGACCTTGAGGTGCTTAGGCGGGATATCTGCTGTGATTTRGAGAGAGACAAGCTGTTTGAAATGAAGCGCAAAGGTCCTCAAACAGAAGATCTACAAACTCACTTTTCTCATTCAAACAACAAGACAGGTATCCTGACACACTTAATCTTAATTTTCCACCTTCCATTTTGTCCTGTAATAATTTCCTAATCTTGGCTATATTAAGAATTTCTTTTCTTTTTTTCCCCTCCCCCAAAGACGATCTGTCTCTGGAGGATGTTGAGTCTCTGCTCCGTTCAGCCTTGCTGGCTCTTCAGCACTTCCCCTGTTCCACCATCTATCCCACCCTCTGTGCTCTTCTCACCCTGACGACGGGGCATCGTGACCCCATGAGCACGGCGATGTTTCACGCAGAGTCTTTGGGAGTCGCGAGTCGTCATCGCACAATCCGGCATTTAAACAGTAACCTCCAGTAAGCACAATCCTCGTAGTATTTTTCTGACTTTTCTGTAAGCTATTACGAGCAATTTAATGATTTCTAGTTCTGTTATGAAATTAACATTTCTGTCTTTTTTATCACTACCTTTTTTTAGAAAGCTGAAAAAGGCATCCAGTGATGTAACCGACAAAATGAATGATCTGAGTCTGAATGAGCTCAATGGGACAGAGACCACTACGTGTGCTGAACAGAGATTGTCTCAGATGGTGGACATCTTTTCCTTCTCCACTGCAGACCCTTCCTCTTTCCCCCAGATTCAGTTCCAAGAGTTTAACCAACAAATTCAACATCTTCCTCCAGGTAGAATAATCTTATTTTACACATTTAGTAATGAAAGTAAAGTTATAGTTTTGATTTGTCTAGTGATTTATTTGACTGTGTTGCTACTTTACCTACATCTTGTGGCATGTTTGTCAAATCTTGGCTCTTGAACGCATCATCTTTATCAAAATCAGAGGTTTATTCATTCAAACTGGAGTTGAAAAGCTTTTAAACTTGTATTGTTGTGTTCAAAAAGAAATCCATGGAAGTTGTAAGTTTCTGCATGAAGGAGAATTTTGTATCTGCACAAAGATGCCAAGAAAACAGCTTTGATAAACATGCTCACCTATACAGCTGAAAGTGGCTAAAGTCAGAAATTAAGGTTCCATCCTATGAATTTTAATTTTCTCTCTCTTTAATTCTAATTTAAAGTTTTTCTTTTTTCTGTTTGACACATTGTCTGGATGGTGATTTTTCTAAAAATAAAGTTTGTTTTTTTCCCCCCACTCTTGTTTTTATGTCCAGGAGTGACCGTGTGTTTGATGTCTGTGCTTGGAGTAAAGCCGGGAGAAAAGGGCGAAAGTATTCTTCTGTCACGTCTTGAAAAGGATTCTTCTCCCGTCACTGTTCACATCTCCACCTCTAGACAGCGGGTTAGTCTAAACATGTTACTATGGTTTTAAGTTGTTGGGTCTTAAGAATCTTTTTAAATTATCATCAACACAACACAACTCACATGTGCAGTCTTTTTTATGTATGTTTTAAGGTGTTGCTGTGCAACTAATGCTTGTTTCATTATTAACTTACTAAAACTCAAGAACCAAAAAGACTAGTTTGATTGCAAATGCACATCTGTTGGTTTAGAAAATATAACAGATACTTCCTATTTACTGTGTAGAAACCAGGTACGTACTTAAAGGAAAAACAATGCGCTGCTAAAATCAGTATGCAAGTTTGCATTTATGCTAAATAACAAAGTGCAGCAGGATTTAAAGATGGAGTGATTTCTGATCCAGTCCTTGACAGACTGAAAGTTTTAAACTCCTCTTAGCCAAAAAAAAAAAAAGTTCAACCACATCACCTTAAATTCAGCACTGCTCTTCTTGAGACCACAAAAGTTTGACGTAGATCATCAGAGACCAAAAATAATGTGGAGCGTGCCAGAAAAAACATGTACTTTTAACTTTTTAAAGGACTCTTTTTATCTCCGTCTTCCCACCTAATTTGAAGACTTAATTTGTACAGACTTTACTGCTAAAGAGTTACTTATTTGACTCCTAGAATATATATATATATTTTTTTTATTTCCATTGCGACAGACTGCTGCATCCGAGGTGCACAAAAGAGCGTTATCGCAGATCCTTCCTCCAGCTGCTGTCAGACGTTATAACCAGCACCACCATTGTGATAGTTATTGGTCTGTTGAGATTGTTTTGCACTGAAATCAGGCAATTTCTGATTCCTAATGTTGGATTCTGATAGTCTACTGTCTCTAAAACAAAACATCATTTTTTATTCTTGCACAGTTCTTTATATCATATTTTTTATTATTAGTAGTTGTATCATGGCTAGTCGGTGTTGATTTTGTTTTGTGTGCACTATTTATAGTTTGTAAAGTAACTAGTGTGTGAACCTCTGTACGGATGCTGCTGTGACACCTGAATTTCCCCTCGATGGGACAATAAACGCTATTTCTATTCCATTAAGATCATGTTGACATTTTTTCCTGTGTTGCAGCACAACATCAGAAATTTGTTGCAGGAGATGGAAAACATTCTGGCAGAACAAAAAGTAGTGAGCTGCGTGGCTGAGAAGGAGAAGTGGTGGGACGGTCGGCGAGCTCTTGACAGTCGAGTTGAGGTAAGGGATTAACAGAATGATGCCTTTTTTCACTTGCATTCACTTACAGTTTCTATAAAAAGAGTGAACTTCCATTAGCAGTCGTAAGACCTTGACTGAGAAATGTCAAGTGGAAGTAAAAGCATCATCCATCTTCACAGCAACTGTTGAAAGAAATGGAAGAGCTACTCGGCTGCTGGAAGAGCCTCCTCCTACCACTTTCAGCAGATCCTGAGCTGTCCATGCAGGTCCAGAACCTTTGCAAGGCCTTGTCTTCAAAAGGAGTGACGGTGAATGAGCAGATGCTGAAGGTATGTTGGATCTTTTGGTACCATCCTCTGATCTGACAGAAACCACTAAAACTTGTGATTTGTCTCTTCAGGTTGTACTTTCTGCRTCTCATCTGCTGAACGATGACGATCTCAGGAGATTTGCTCTTGGGCTTTCTCCTCARTGGCACTCTGAGTGCGATCAGCTTCTGCATTCAGCCATGTTCAACCTCTCTGAGAAAAATGAGAATCGGAGTCACGTGGTTCTCATTCTAGACAAGGTTGGGTTTGTTGCCTTCTTTCTGAGTGAAATGACATTTCATATTTAATGCTCATCAGCTTCTGTCTGCAGTTCCTTCAAAAGCTGCCATGGGAGAGCATGTCTGTCCTGAAGTCGTGCTCCGTCAGTCGAATGCCTTCATTACATTCCCTGCTCGGTCTCAGCTTTCAGAAAGAGGTACAGTTAAACTCCGTTTCATGGTTGTCTGTTTGAGTTCTGCTGCTGAGATCATTCCATGTCTTCTGTTCTTTAGAGGGACTCTCAGTCCATCCTGAGGCAGGGAGTGAACACAAGCAAGGTGTTCTACCTGCTGGATCCCGACCGCAACTTGAACAATACTCAGATTCAGTTTAAAGAGTGGTTTAGTAGGTAAGGCTGTTATAAATTAGATTATGTTTGGTGTGGATATTTGTTGCTAGTTGTCTTTCCCTCTTCACTGAAACCATATTTTTTTGTTAAAGTGAACCGGACTGGCAGGGTGTGTGTGGCGTTGCTCCTGAACCGAGTCAGCTAGAAGAGGCTGTTGCAACCAAGGACTTGTACATGTGAGTTGGAGTTAGAATATTGTCTGTAAATGAAGTGTGGGGTGGAAATCATTCATTCTCCTCTGGCTCCAACATGTCAGGCTGGGTGGACAAGTCTTCCCTTGTTGACATCTTTTAATTCATTTGTAAATAAATTTTCTGMGCTGCTATGTAGTCGTAAAATGATCCAATGACTCTAATTGAATGTCAACATTATGGATGTTTTTTTTTTTCTCTATGTACACACACATTTCTCCTTCTGTGTTTTTAGTTATTTAGGACATGGAGCCGGTGCCAGATTCCTGACCGGCCATTCGGTCCTCAAACAGCCGGTGAGAGCAGCTTCACTGCTCTTCGGCTGCAGCAGCGCGGCGCTGGCTGTGCGAGGCAATCAGGATGGACAGGGCATCGTTCTCAACTACCTCATCGCTGGCTGGTGGGAGATTTATCTCATCTACTCTCATTTCATCAACAATTAATTATTAATTTAGTTTCAGAAAACAAAATAAAACATTGTTACAACTAAATAATGTGCTGCTTTTGAAAATATCTACAACTTATTGATTTGTTCACTGAAAGTTGGTCTTTCATACTGCAGCARCTTTTCTTCAGAGGCTGTTTGAACACGTGACGTTTATCAAAGACTGGACAGAACATTTTATTTGATCACACCAGTTTGATTAGGTAAAATTAGCAGATGTTTCAACATTCACACAAGCAAAACCAAAAAATCCAGCAAATTTTCTTTATTTAGTTTGAGAAGTTTMAAAAGCTTTTATTTTTTTATTTTCTGGACTTCAGACTGTTAACATGGAAACATTTATAAAAACTTTTAGGTCAACTTCTAGTATAAATTAACAAGTTKTCTCAAAGATCTGTGCCATAAAGYTTTTCTTTTCCTTTTCTTTCTTTATGTAGCCCCTTCATTTTGGGCAACCTGTGGGATGTAACGGATCGGGATTGTGATCGCTTCACAAAAGCTCTGCTTAAGTCGTGGTTATCAGCTGGGTCTGGATCTGCTCTCCTGGACCACATGCCTTCATCACGTCAGGCCCCAAACCTTAAATACCTGATGGGGGCTGCACCCATCGTCTACGGCCTCCCAATTTATCTGCAATAAGCTGCACCGACACAAACGTTCTTCACTTTGATGCACAGCAGCGTCGAGCTTAACTTGGAAAAGTTGTTGAATATTTTTTCTCTTTATTTAAAAATTTCTTTTTAAGTTTTTACTAGTTTAATTCAAAACCTATGTATGATTGTTTATTTATAAGGTGTTTTTGCTTCTAGCTTTGAACAAATTGCTTTTCACATGCAGTGTTTTCCATGCATAAGCTTCAATCTGCAGTAAAATGTTTCACCTTATCTGTAAGTTTGTGCACTGGTGAGGTTCAGGTTTGACCCGTTTTTATTGATGCCAAAACTGTCAGGTTGAAAACTTGCCGAGTTAAACTGGATTAATATTGGATGTTTTGTGTATTTTAACAATAAATGTAAGGTTCACCCCCACCTCTTCTCACATGTATTGAGCTTTAGAAACATTTCATAAAGASCTAGAATGTATAAAATTACCAATTCTCACAATTTTTTTAAAAATAATTTTCATTTTGCCTTTCACATGCTATTAGTTGTTTTTTTTAACACATTGATTTTATTAATTAATAAAAACATGCATTTTAAATTTGTGTTCATTCTTTTCAGTTTTTGCATTAAGTTTGTATTTTTCCCCACGTGAGTAATATGGATTTTGTTTAAAACCAGATTGGATAAATGTTTGAAGATCCAGTGTGATGTTCATTTTTTTGGTAATAATTTGTTGCCCTAAAAGCAAAAATTTCATAACTTGTTCACAGTGTAAGTACATTTTGACTAAACCTGAAAAGTATGACACCAAGTAGGTTTAGGCTAAAAATCTACTACTACTACCCAATTACTCCTGGATTATTATTATTTTGGTTTTTGGTTTGTGTGCAATTATTCTAGTTTTTCCCTACATAAACTGATCATTTAACTTCAGCAAAACCAGAATGTTTTCAGTGTGCTTTATTTTGTTTTTGTGTTCATTTTGATGTGGAATAAAAAAAAAGAATATGCATGAAGAGATTCAGACAARCACATGAAGTCATTGCTATGTAATGGAACGGTGCCAAACTGTGACAGTGCTTCTGACCCCCTCTGCTGGAGAAGTTGAAGTATTGCAAGAGATTGCTATTACCTTATTTTTGTATGACCGTCTTTAAAACGTTTTTTTTAATAAGGTCGAATAAAATATGTGCTTTTTAGCGTTGAAGTTTGTCTAGGGGTTGTAGTGACAATTTATTTCCACATGGGGGCGGTGTTCAGACAGATCTTTAGACTCCATCAACCGGAAAAAGAATCTGTAGGTCCTCACGTTTCCAACATGGCGGTGAATCTCACAGACCTCTCCCTGCCTCAGTTAGAAGGACTAAAAACCCAACTGGACCAGGTATTATTGTTAATTTTACAATATATTTACGATATTTGAGTTCCTATAATCCAATAGGAGGGGTAACTTGATGACATAAATTAAAAAAATGAGGTTCTTTTGCGAAAACACCAGCGGCGTCTCCTGAAGATGAATAGCTACATCACTCTGTCATAGATCGCTGCTATTAATTGTGTGTTTTAATGTTTTTTTTATTTTTCAGGAAGTTGAGTTCTTGACGTCTTCAATAAGTCAGCTGAAAGTTGCCCAGAGTAAATTTGTTGAAGCTAAAGACAGTTTGAATGTGCTGAACCAAAACAATAAAGGTGCGTAAAATTGCTATTATTTTAGGACAGCTTATTATATAAAAACAAGTAGCTCCAAAGGGCAGTTTGTTTATATGTTATGTCATAAATTATCTCATAATTTCCTTTATCATAATCTATTCATTTAATTTCTGTTTATATGAATTAATTGATTACCTTTTCCCCCCATTAACAGGCAAAGAAATGCTTGTTCCTCTCACCAGTTCTGTATCCTTTACCTACATGTAATCTTTTACATAAATATTACATTTGCATTAAATAACTGTGATCAATGCTCATCACTATTTAAGTGAGTATGACATCAAATGTTTGTGATAATTATGAATTCATTATGAACTTGTGACGTGTCCATAGTGTACGCTGACCTGGAAAGGACAAAGCAGGAACAGATGATGGATGGATATTAATGTATTATGATCTTAATAAATTTTTGCCAATATTTACAATCTTTTAACACTAACACCATGAATTTATTTGCAGCATCATTACTCACGGTATAAATCACATAGAAAAATGTTCAGAGACATTAGCAACATGGAAATACAGAAGTAGAACTCCTGTTGGCATGAACTGATCAGTTTTTGTGACAAAACTGAATATTTGTTTAAAGGCATCATGTGCCTTTTAAGTAAAAAATAAGATCGCCCTTTACTGTTGACTACTCAGATGTATGTCCCTGGAACGTTAAATGATGTTGACCATGTCTTAGTGGATGTGGGGACTGGATATTATGTTGAAAAGGTAATTATATCAAAAGCCTAATCAAGAATAACACAACGTTAAGTAAAATCTATTCAAAGTAAGTGGAACTAAAACATGTTTTGTGTTTGTAGAATGTAGAGGACTCAAAGGCATTCTTCAAGCGTAAAATAGACTTCCTTACAAAGCAGATAGAGAAAATTCAGCCACCTCTTCAGGAAAAGCATGCTATGAAACAAGGTAAGCGGAGTGGTGTTAAAAAATATAATTCTGTTTTGTGGTCCTCTGTTTTATTCTCACTGTTTTTATTTTTACAATAAACATGCAGAACAAATCATCAATAAGATGCTTATGATCAGTTTTGTTTACATCATTGTGRCTATTTACTGTTATTAGCTGAATTTTACAAATCACTATAACAAATGACTAATATACTTCTTAAAAACAAACTGTTTACATACAAGCTCAAGTATTTCAACTCGTAGTTAATTTAAATTAGTAATGAATAAAGACAGGCATATATTAAAAATGAGGCATTTTACTTCCTGTTTAACCCTTTTTAAACTATATGGGAGACAACACTTTGTACAACCTGATGGTACACTCTGCTATGTTTTTGAGATTTATTTTTTGTATTAAGCTGTTCTTAAAGTAATTTGAGTTTTGTTGTTAATGTTATCAAAATTTTGGCTTTGCGTTATTCACGCCGTGAGCAGTGGTGTCCACTTATGGTCCTCAAGGACCACTATCCTGCATGTTTTAGAAGCCTCCCTGCAGGTAAACATCTAAATCTTGCAGGCTAGTGGTCCTCGAGGACCAGGGTTGGACACTGCTGCTGTAAAAGATATTGCAACTAGACTGTATTCACGTTTTATTCTGTCTTGCAGCTGTGATTGAAGTGATGAGCCTGAAGATTCAGCAGCTACAGCAGAGCCAACAAGCATCACAGATGGCTGGAACCACCAAAGCCTAATAAAGACGTCTGTCTCCATTCTTCAACCCTGGGCGTTTTTAAGTTTGTGTGCACAAAAGATCAGCATCTAACATGCACAGACCTTGTTTCATGCCTACTGTTGTCACAATGAAGAAATTGTGTGTACAATTTTAAATTAATTAAATTTGAAGTCCAGTTAGTTGCTAATTAAAGAGGTCACAATGGATTCAGTGGACATTAAAGTGCTTTTTTTTCTTGAGTACTTGTTATCATTATTACCTCAGCTAAGGAGGTTATTTTCTGGAGCATTTGTTTATCTGTTCACAAGGTTTCTCAGTTATAAACTGATTTTCATGAAATGTTATGGGCATGTTGCAGTTGTCTCAAAGAACAAATAATACAGTTTTGGCTGTGATCTGGCGACATTTACCATAGCTGCAGCAGCTACCTGTAAACAGAAAGTGAAGCTTAAAACAGACTACAGAAGCTGCATTTTACTGATGATGGGATGCTGTGGCAGCCTATCAGCATCCAGCAGAACTCTGCTCCACTAATCTCAGCTCATCAGCTGCACACTCATTTGCACAACAGAGGGTCTTGGCAGAAGTATGCAGTCTCCAACTGCTTAGTTATTAAAATCAGAGTTTTTCTTATTTTGGGAAGTGTTATTTCACTTTGTATCTAAATATCTTAGCTACAGCTAAAAAAACAGATTTTTCTTGTCTCATAAAGGTATATATTTACCTGAATGACCAATTATATCCTGTCTGCAGGCTTCCCAGCTGACACTTGCAGTGTAATGATTAGTGATCTTTCATTTATTTACAGTAGCAGTAGATAATAGACATGAAATTTTAAATAAATCAGGCAGTGTGTTATTGGTTGAGAAATTAGTCTGTGCCCCTGTTTTGGGGGCTTTTTGATGTCAGCACAAGAGGTCAAATCAGAGTATTTAAATTTGATTTTTATGGTGACTTAAAAATTATTTAATTTATTTAACTTGGAATGAATTCTTAGGAGTTAACAGGTCAGGATCCTGAGCTGGTGCTATCTATCTATCTATCTATCTATCTATCTATCTATCTATCTATCTATCTATCTATCTATCTATCTATCTATCTATCTATCTATCTATC